TTTAAAAAAATATTGTCAGAAATCGGTGTTTTATTCCATAAATTATTTAGTTGATTGCCAATACGTTAATATAATTTTCTAAAGATAATTGCATAATAAATACATAACCCGCGTCACAAAACATGTTTTAAAAAGACTTTTTGATTTATAATTAGCATTTAGGTATTTAAATTAATATTAATAAAGTTGAAATTGGATTTACTATGGAATTTATTTGTATTTTAATTCTTGATGCAAAAAGAGAGAAAAATAATTTGATTTGAAGGAAGAATATCTTATAGTTTTTAAGCACTTGTTATTTGGCTGCTGGTTATGATGAATAAAAAACACTGATTTATAACGCTAGCAACTTTCCATACTTAATCCAATGCCCAGCAACATCACTTGATATAAACAGCAATCATGCAGACGACATCTGGAAATTCATTTGAAATCAATTTACCTACTATTTCGCACCCGTTTAGCTATTTTTAGGAAAACAGGTATGTCATCCAAAAGCGACTAAATTGGATGTAAGCGTAATTTGTATATTTTTTGCATAACGTACCGAATTTTCCGTCATTTTAGTTGAATTATACCACTTTGCTAACATCGGGAACTCTTCTTCGATTTCTCAAAATAAATTTCTGGAATAGTGTAATATGCGCAATGACGGAAAAAGAAAACACCACGAATCAATGGGTACCACGAATTGATGAGAAACGACCATATATAGGAACATACGCAGGCACGATAATGCTTCCCAGAGTACAATACAGAATACTCTGTGCCTTCACTTCTCCGAACTACAAATGTATGACGTCATATTTGAATATGACGGCAAGTCACTGAGCTGTCATAAACCTGACATCTTATTTTAATCTACATATAAAGATGTAGAGCGTAAGATTTAAATAAACGTGTTTTAATCACTTTAAAAACAAATCTAATATATCTGTATGATTGAGATAACTTTGCTCTTTTACTCTATGTTTGACATTTATCCTCTTTATACCCATGGATTGAGGCAGAATTCATTATTTGTGTATAAATGAGCCCTGACGCAGGTGATTAATGAGAATTTATTTAAGGTGTTTCCATTCTCACAATTTTAATGACTCAAAGTACAAAAACGGCATTTATTTTCATTTAATATTCTTTAAATTTTCCAATATTGCAAAAAATGTATAGGTCACCATATTATTTAAAATGCAAAACATAAATAAACAGAAGGATATGTCAACATAAAAAATGCGCATTTTTTTGTAAAAAGTATAATGAAAGATATGTAAAAACTGTTACAGAAACAAAATTCTTATGCTGAATGTTCCTAAGTACTTCCTATTTATAAGATACTTTTGAATTGTGAATGTCAGGGAAGGTATTTACATTAGAAGTACAATATAGCAAATGCCTGAATAAAGAGACCTTAGTAGGAGTTATTGTCCTTGTCAACAAATAATTGATGAAATAAAGAAAATATGCATTTTTAAAATTATTTTACTTAATAATATTTATCATTACACCTATTGTAAAGCATTATTCCAAAAGACATTGTTTTATAAGGTATCTATTTTAACTAAATACAGTTTTTGCAAAAAGCTATGGCATCAAAGGAGGTCAGAATTACCTATTTTGTGAAAATCTGTAAGAGGAGTTTCCTCTCTAACTGAATCTTGCTTTGGAAAAATGTGTGATTGCTTTGTTTTAAAACAAATATTGAGCGGAGAAAACCACCATATTTGTCTGTAGTTGAAGTTAATTTGAAATATTATGTACCAGAGAAATAGTATTACTTTCCCTAGCACATTTCGGGTTCACAGGGATGCAACAAGATTATTTACGTTACAAAAAGTTTGAAATAATTGTATTAATCGGCTGCACCAAACCGATTTATGTGAAACCTTTGAAAAAGAAAAATGACTGCCGTGTGATCAACGAGGTCATATGTGATATCGTGACAAATATGTTTATATATAGCCTTGGGAACTGTCTACATGAACTAGGGGTACTTAAGTACATAACTTCAGAATAAAACTCAAAATCAACTTTACAATGCAGTTAAAGCTCCAGGAAGCTTAACAGTACTGCGTATAGGAAAACTCTTTACCTACCAATAATCTGCATGTCTTTGCCTATTGCTTACATCATTAATAAATTAATTTGTACTTCAGTGAAAAGTAAATAATTTTTTTTAAATTGTATGCGCAAACTTATGTTCTTTCAATTTTGAAAGGTATATTTTGATAAAAAAAAATATTTGATTTTTTTTTCACCATTTTCATTAGCAATGTCCAATTCTAAGGCCGCTTATATCTATTCAAAAACATTGTGCAATATAGCGTGCGATAATTTGTTTAAGCATTCTGTGATTGAAATTCACCAGTTGCTTGATATTTTATTAATTCAAGTTTAATTCGTGCTTAATCATATGAACACAAATTAGATTGGCCATTTACCCAGTCTGGCTAGATGACAAATCGTTAAAGTAACCAATAATAAAAAATGAGGTCATTTAGGTTTTCACACTTCTGGTATGTTTGACACCTCCGGCCGGTCATTATTACTTCTCTGACCAATGTCAGTTAACTTTCTTGCAGTCAAAAACTGCTCAGTATGACGAGGAGAAATTACCTATGTTTCTTACCTTTTGTTCTTGGAAAAGAGACAGGTGTCCGGTTTTCAGGAGTGACCGGTTTTATGAGAGTTTATGTATTAAGAAATGTTACGAATTTTGCCGGGACTTATAAATTCGCCCAATTTTTAGGGAGAACCGGTTTCCTTGGGGTTGGGGGGGGGGATTGGAGAAGTTTCAATGTAAAGGGAATCTTTCAAAATCTTCTTCTCAAGTACTGCAAAGCCATGTTGAGTGATATTTATTTGGACGCAACATCAGGTAGTGTAAATTCTAGTTTGTTCAAATCATAACCCCCAGGGGTCGGGTCAGGCAACAATTGTGGATCCAGTTTTTGCATTAAAATATATTTTGGAAATCTTCTTCCCAAGAATAGCAAGACATGATTAGTGATATTTATTTTGAACAACTTCAGTGTAGCATTACATTTGTTCAAATCATAACCCCGACGGGTAAGTGTGGGGTTAAATGGTGGATAAAAGTTTTGCATTAGAAAATTAAGGGTTAAATCCCGAGAACAGAAAATCCATGTTTAGTCATATTGACATATAAACATCATCATGTATTGAAGATTTAAATATGTTCAAATCATCACCCTTTGAGGTAGGCATGGGAACAATGGAGAATCAAATTTATATTATTACGAAGAAATATATACAACGAAACTTTTTTTAAATCTTTTTCTTTAGAAAAAAAGATTTATATGCTGTTTAGATATGGAGGCATTTTCAAGTAGTAATAAATTTCAAGCCCCCTCCCCTTTTAGTAAACTTTTCAATTCTGATCTTATTTGTGCCTTTTCTAGCCGATGTGCTCTGGTGAGCTAGGTAGCCGATTGGTCTCTTTTTTAACTGTAATGACATTTTTTTATGTTTGTTTTATCTGTTTTAGACTGATTTTTTGGACTTGAATAGTTGAATAGAATGATGCATTTATCAATCAGAAAATAAAATTATAAATGAAGGCGACAGAATTTCTTAAGTTTGCTTACTATGTTTTCTTGACATGTGAAAGTAATAAGAATACTGAATGATCCCAGCACCCGCAGATAGAATTATTTGGAAATTATGTGAAGACATTTCAATTCATATTTTTTAGAAGTAGCCAATAAAACTAAAATATGTTAGGTTGTGCTATGTATATATATGCAATAAGGGCGTGGCTTTACATGTACATGTAATGACAATGTAAGACAAGAGAAGACCAACAATGTCAAAAAGTGCAGATTCTAACTTTTAAAAGATATTAAAAATGGCAAAGTTCCCCATAAAGGATGACATATATAGAGGGAATTATTTAAGAACTCTTAAGATAAACCAAAATTTGATGCATGATTTGATACACGTTTTTGATTCGTTTGATTTGAAATGACTTAGATAATGAATTGACTTTGAGATTGAATACTGTTCGCTGTCTCCATATCCTTCATATAAATAAATCGGCTGACTGACCGATGTAAATAAAAAAAATATAGGTAGCAACTGTTTCTTCACCCTCCCATCAACATTAAAGTGAATGGTGTGGGTCCTTCGGATGAAACCTTAAAAACAAGATCAACAGCAGGCGTTGACAAGATAAAGATTCCTCAATGCTCAATGGCACTGACGGTCGAGTAAAAGTTAACATTAGGCCCTTCATTGATATATATATGATGACATCTTTAAATGAGTGAAATATTCTCGAAAGGGATGTACATGTACATGTAAAACAAAATACAATCAATCAATCTATAGATCATTTCAGGGTCCTAGATTTATAGTGCAAGACTCTTCCCACTCGTATTTCAGTCATATAAGAATTAGGTTCATGATATGTATAAATTGGGTCTGTAGATATACCAATTGATTGATAATCACTTGATGTTCCATTTGAACTTAGAAGCATTAAAATAAAATAAAGACTTAGTGCTTTCATGTCCTAAAGAAATTTTCTCCTCAAAGTCCAGGTCTTGGAGAACAGCCTTAATGAAAATGCAATGTTTTTGATTTTTAAGGTAAATAGGTATGTTTGAATACTGATAGTGAAGAAAAAATATATGAGTGCACTTTCTGATCTAAAAAAAATGTCTTTTAATCCTCAGAAACAGTTTTTTATTTACTAGCTGAATATTTTATATCAGAAGATGCACTCTATATTAAATATCGAAAAATAGCTTTCAAAATTGGCCGTTTTCGTAGACTTTTTTTCAGAAAATGAAGATATTGACGCATTTTGTGACGTCACAATGCATTGAATAGTCAGAAAATTACGTTATGTATTTATAGATACGCAATAACCAAAGATCTAAGTGATATTTAATGCATTGTTAACTAAAACTAACAAGCTTTTCAGAAATTCACATGGCCGTAAAAGACAAAAGTGAACCCTTTTCTTTGTTATTTTTCAGATGGACATTGAAAAAATTTTAATGTTAAAATTCCTACTACTTTGTCTGGTTATGGATTCAGCGCAGCGTGTTCGAAATGCATCATGTGAAATTGAGGACCGTAACATAGAAACCCACAGACGTATTTTACAACACTTTATTTCAAACGAGAAAGCAAAACTCATATATTTGAACGTAAGCTCCACATCATATAACAGTATGACTATGGAACAAACTGAATGGAACAGAGTTTATGATTGGACCTGGATAACTGAGGATAACAAACATTATTTAAGTTATCCAAATGATATTGATGTTTATACGTTTGGTCTTATGAGAACTGGCATCCATAAACTGAGCCTTAATATCTTGATAAATAATACATCCAACTGTAGTAAGGAAATTCTTTGGATACGAGTACACAACTATCTTCAACGTCTGCGAAACAAATCAGAAGGCGGATATTTCTGTCACAGAAACTTTGAACATCAAGATTTGAAAAAATTCTTTCATTTATTTCCGATCGTATCAATTGGGTACGACTTCGATTGTTTCAATGGGAATATTACGACTCCCTCTCTGCTTATAAAAACGTCTATAATCACTTATGCGATTGTCGTCATTATATTTTCGATGCTTGCATATTATCCTCTAATAATAGCTTTGTCATTGCACGGTCGAAAAATAAGCGAGCAACTGAAATACTTAACCATGGCCGATTATCCGTATACACCTAGAAGGTTTCTGTTATATATTATTTTCAAATCTAGTAAACCAAACATTACAAGAAAGTTGGATCGAAGCTTTTCCAGTGGAATGCGTTTATCTTTTATATTACTTCTAGTCACAGGATTGTCATACGCTGTGAAGATAATTTTAGTCAATAATTATTCACTTTTACCACCCAATACAGTGATTTTTCCATTTCTGTTTAATGGTGTTGGATTGCAAAATGATATAAATATATATGTTCATATATTTATTTATACATTTTTCATTTGTTTTAGTTTGTTTGCAATTGCTACGATAAATAGTTACTTAATTCTATCTATTGAGTCTATGAATGATTGCTTTGTGTTTTTTAAACTTTCATCCTTAAAATGTAGCCTTATTCCTGTATCCGATTTTCTTAAAATGAAACGGAAAGAAAACACAATGTCTGCAGTGGTTGTGGATCGGTTTTGGCTGATTTTTTCTTTACAATTTTGGAGTAAAGTATTTCTTTTACCATTTGTTGGTCAAAGAAATTCAATATTCAGTTTTAAGTTTCACTTCAGACTAGTTCTATCTGTAATTGATTTTATGATAAACGTGCCGCTTATACTGTTGTTCAGCATTTTCCCATTGGTTAATCAATGTTATCATTTTATGCTATATTTTTTAAAATCATGTAGTTTCTGTGTATGTAAGCGTTATCCAAACTTTGTAGCAATATTATCACTCATTTTAACTCCAGTTTTCATTATGTGTCTTTTGTATAACAGCGTGTATGTAGGGATGAGCTGTATCGTTCAATTTTTGATTTATGTTTTCTTAGTTGCAGTTCCTCATTTATATTCGACACAAATCCATATTTTCTTATTTGTCATGGCAATTCTTTCTTACATGAGCAAATATTTTGTGGAATTTTTTATGCTCTATCGACAACTTTTACAAAAAGTAATTCAACTAAAAAAATCCCATGATATTTTGATAAAACATTTTGATTACATCATTGCACAGTGCTGCCCAATACAAATTGAGGTATTTTTTCTTTTGATGAAAATTATTCTAACAACATTTTTGCTTCTGATTATATATAAAACACTATCTGAAGTCAATTTCCTAGATAACCAATCATCAATTAATTTAAACACGATAATGGTATATGGCTTTATTTTCCTGACATCCGGAATTTTAGAAATATTGTTCTTCGAGAGCAATACAGACAAAGTAGAAAGAATACACTTTGAGTTAGATAACCAAATAAGATTATTACTAAATGTATACGAGCCTGAAAACGAGACGGAATCTGAAGTTGAAATTGATGCCGACAAAAAGATGGGACGATGTTTGTTTTCCGTTAGGTATGTGTGTAATTGGTGTTGCGGGTGCATGGAAACCCCTGTCACTGATGAAGGTTATTGTAGGTGCTGCTATGGCCTTGAAGAAACGGACTTGGGTCCAAATGGTGGACCGACATTCTCAGAAACCCACGTGTCATTTTGCACACGTGGTAGTCGCATAAATGAGTACACACAGATCAGCTCGACAGATGACAGTGTTGCATCATAGGCATTACTTATTAACGTAAAAGCTTTAGATATTCTAACTACAGTACACTGTATGAAACCTTTTTGGAATAAACTTTTTTTCTTATGTTTTAGAAATCACCCTCTAGCATTAAATTGACTACCGGGTAGTATAGATTAGACTGCTATGAACTCTATATGCTCGAAATAAAAATAATCACGAATTCGTGCTGTGGCATTAAAAACATATTTTTATGCAAGTGAAGGAATATATCATTTAAATACTAGTAAGGATATACGTAGGAAATAATAAATGAACTTTGATTAATAAGAAAGTTTTTAAGATTTCATGTCATAATGGGAATAAAAGAGAAAGCAATCATAATATTCCGGGGGGAAACATTTTAGTTCATGTGGGCATTGTGGTTTTAAAAAAGTATACTGGTTTTACTCAATAGAACGTGAGCATTGTGGTCAAAAAATTATACTGGTTTTACTCATTAAAACATGTATCTTCAATATGGAACAGTAAATTATACGATTTTTAAAATTTTGTAATATACAGGTATTTTTTTTATTACCTTGTAATTTCTTTTTGATTTGTATTGCATAACTGTGTTGTTAATAAAAGAAGATTTTGAAAAATTAAGATAACATTATTGTTTGATTAAATTTTCAAGGCATACTTATGCATGTCTTGTTGAAGAAAGATTTTAGAACAGGTAATTGGTTATAGAAAGTCATTTCTGTAAGAAGATTCCGACATTGTTACGCAACAACAAAAGTCTTAAGATGAAAACAACTTCTAGGTATAGTAATTTTGCACAATATTACACTTTGCAATGAGTGTTATCCAAGAAGTTAAAATAAACTTCATTTGAACAGTATTTTTTTCAGCAGAGCAGCACCGACTTCTAAAACCGAGATGGGATCAGGTGTCAAGGAGTATATGAATGTCGGAGTTATGGGTGAATGTCTCCTGTAGATCAGTCATTAAGGGAAAACCTGTCGAACACTTATTGAGAATATTTGGCTCATAATTATTCAAGTTACTATTAGACATCCAAAATATTGACTTCAAACGAACTCTCCGACACCCATGGAGAACCTTCATAATTTTTAGGAACGTGCTCTGTTTAAGAAAATAAAAAAATAATATAAATATTTTAAAAATTGCTTTATATTTAAGTTGGGTAATTGACGAAAGAAAAAAAAACTCTTTACGAGTTATTACTCTAATTAATACCATGACCACTTCAGCAAATACAATCAAATATTTGGCCCTTTTTTGAGCATTATCATGATAAGAGGCACACAGAAGAGATACAGGTAGACAAAGGATGATTTAACATACATGGCGCCCATTTCATCCTCTGATGTTTTAGAGGTCCTTGTTGCTCTGATATTATCCTAACTGTCACTGCTGCAATGACATTTTGTACTCCTTTTTCCTGATTTCATCGGCTTTGTAACTGAAATGTATTTTTCAAAAAAAAAAAAAAAAAAAAAAAAAAAAAAAAAAAAGAAAAAGAAATACATGTACAGTGTAGTAAACCCAAATCAGAATATTATTCTTATGGACTTTGCTATTGAATGCTGTTCGTTATCTCCATATCCTTCTTCATGACGTACTACTATTTTTTCTTGGTTATACTTTCTTAATGTTCGGAAAGCATGGGTCAATCTGTAAGGTCAAACGCAGGTCAAATTAGTTGGTACACTTTGGTGAAGTAAGATGTATCAAAACTGAGATTTTAGGCAAAAAAAAAAATTAAAATAAAAATACTTCTTTTTACCAGGATTCCAGTTTCAATTTAAGCAGAAAAAGGTATAGCTATGGAAATCTTTTAAATCTGATTGATTGAATGATTAATTGTAAATTGTTTAACGTCCCTCTTGAGAATTTTTCACTCATATGGAGACGTCACCGTATGCCGGTGAAGGGCTTCAAATTTAGACCTATACTCGGCACTCAGGGCCATTGAGCAGTGAGGGTTCTTTATCGTGCCAGCGCCTACCGTGACACGGGACCTACGTTTTTAAGGTCATATCCGAAAGACCCGTGACTTTCACTGATGCCGAGCGCTTGGCGAAGGAACAGTCACTATCTATTTTTACGTCTTAGGTTTGTCGCGGCGCCGCCAACGAGAATCGAACCCGGGCCTCTTGATCACGAAGCGAACGCTCTACCACTAGGCTACCGTGAACGGTTCTTAAAATCTGAAAGGATTAAATATATTAGTTTGCCTAAAGTTTCGAAGAAAACGATTTTTCATATTCATGTGCCTTTTCTTTACAATTGAATAGACATATGCATAGGTAAAAGTCTGGGAGTTAATTTGGAATTGACAGTGATAATATTTTTTTTTCTCTGCATAACTCTATATCAATTACATGCGCCACGCAGGCTACGTATAGAAATAAAAAGCATATAAATTAAAGATATTTAAATCTGATATGACATTATTATCAAATTTATCATTATGAAAAGAAAATATCAGTACGTTATACTTTATAGTGTCCAATGTTCAAATTTTCACAAGTTATCTTTCCTGTTACGTGGCTTTAAGTATTGCAAGGATACCTTATTCATAGAAATGTGTATAAAATCATTCTAATCTTATTCATAACTGACAACGAATTAGACAGTTTATAAAGTATGCAGCGTGATGTTATTTAAATGTATAAACCAGTATTCAAAAATAATAATTACAAATCAGGGTAATTATTCTTATTTGCTAAACGATTGAATGATTCTGGAAATTGTATATTAAACGAACTTTATATCATATTGTTTTATCGTACTGTATCATTTAAAAGATTATTTTAAGAAATTTTATGATGCAAAATCTTATTTCGGCTATATCTTTTAAATATTTTTTTTTAATTTCACGGTATATTCAGTAACACATGTTTGGTAACAAATTCTTTTATCTCTTAGGCTAAACCTTTTGTACTACATTTAAGATATCTTTATTTTGCCAAAAGCTATCATACGGAGACATCAGTGTTTCAGAAACACTTTTATTTCGTATAGATAAAATAACATTTAGATATGTTCAGTTATGCCAAACCTCCTGTAAAGTTCAAAATAGTTACAAAGGTCCTTCAATTAACCCCTGGTACACTGTTAGTGACATATCCTCTTTGACGTCACGGGGTTTGTCATAAATCAATCATAAATTACACGGGATGCTGTCTGTAAAACAAATTATATATGAATGATTATTGCATAGACTTTTGAATAAATTCAAACAAATGTGGTATATATGGAAATGATTTCCCTGACTTATATAGTCTATTTATAGTTCTTATATAATATATACAAATGAAACAGTTCATAACACTACATATTCACCGGATTTTAGGCCGTATTCACCGGAGGGTCAATGCACGTGCAACGGCATTGTCATGTCACAATCAAAACATCGAACAACGTTGTAAACATACAATGGTTGAAACGACCGCAGCGAGCTACGTATCTGAGCAGGAAAACCATTGTTGGTTTGTTATTCACCAGGCTTCGCCTCGGTCAGAATGGATATTTTTCTGGTGAATAACAAACCATATTAAACACCAAAAAAGTCCATAATTGTTTTATTATATGAAAAGAATGCACCATATCTCTACGGCCGCCATTTTGATTCTAGATCCGCGCGTGAGGTGGCGCGGCGTAAAAACTTAGCAACGTATCAACTATGATGGGCGACGCCATTTGACTTTGTTAGGAATCGAGCGTAAGCAAGCATCACACATTCCTTGGTTTGGTCTCTCTATCATTTTTTTCCAAGATTTCATTAACTGGAAAAAGCCCTGCCCATTCCTCCTGTTTATCAAACGCTCCATTATTTAGAATATATTCACGACATAATGGACAATTAAAACCCAAACCCGATTCCGTAGATTTACAGAAGCTCACGATATGGGATCATAAATAACCATGGCAAAACGAATGTGCACAGGGCAAATACCTAGGTGTTTTGAACTTTTCAAAACAAATTGAACACAGAATAACGTTCTCTACCGGAAAGTTTTCTTCACAAGAAGTTGCCGTCCTAAAATGTGTAGCCTTCCTTCGAACGAAACAATAAGCGGAAAACACCTGTGAATTAATATATATACATATATATATTTTAATTGATGTGCAGGGAATTTATAATTGAAAATTAATTGTTTTATTTGATCTTTAGAATGAGCACTGCTGCACGTGTTTGTAATTTCTCAAACTTGACATCTCTCTTCATCCGACGGTATCGATGCTATTAACTCATAATTGTTTTCAGGTTCATGGTAAGATTTTAAACTGGTGTTTCTTCGATTTTGTTATGCCTATTCAAATAAATATAGTGTAATATAATTATAAATTAATGTCATTGAGTTTTCCCTTAACTTGTCTACTGTCTTTTAACTTATTTCATTGGTTCATTTATGAAATGTGGGAGGAGTTGTCAAAGATGAGACGTGCATGAGGTTGTTAGAAATTTACTCTCTTTTTAGAAAATTTTTGTAAAAATGTAATTTCTGATTTTTTTCATTTGGACTTGAATAGATTCTAAACTTTAATAATTAACCAGGAATTATTATTTCAACCACCGAGTTATCATTACAAAACAATATAATTATTATATATATGGTGGAGAATCTAAAAATTTCCTTAATGACGATGGACTAAACTTTGGATCTATTGTATTCACTTTTCTTGGTATTTGGACAACATAAACTGACAAAAATATCTCGACCGATTCTCAACAGCACAAATCCGCATCGCCCAGGAATCACGCCTTTGATGCAAAAAACGGACAACGCCCGGGATAAATGTTTGGGCTTGGGCTCTGATAATCAAATGAATAATGATGCCGGAAATGTTACCTTTTTTTCAGCAAGAAAACATATATTTGCCAATATATCTGGGTTCCGTCTTGGTCTCTGCACTGCTGGATTCGGGTAGTCCAATCAACATAATTTCTTCAAAATTCTATCAGAGTTTAGGTTCGAGAACAAAAAGTGATCTCACGCCTTCTAAAAATCTCGAAGTGCAATAAACAAATGGTCAACATGTCAATATTTTAGGTACTGCTAGAACCCTGATGTAGTTGTCCGACGGGGAAGCATATGTGTTTTTTCAAGTATTTGAGATTCAGGAATTGTCTCACCAAATTATTCTTGGCACTCAGTTTTAATGTAATTAGGAGTTGTGTTAGAATTTCGATCAATGTCTGTATTTATGGATTCTAACTCACAAATTAAGGTAAGTAATGCATCTTATGTTACTTTACCTCCACATTCAAGCATGATTGTCAAAGCAAAGGTGCCAAATCATGTTCATATTGGTTCAACGGGTGCATGTTTACCAAACGATTTTCTGATGGATAGAGGTTTGATTGTAGCTAAAGCAATTGCTTCTGTAGACATAGGGCATATGGTGCCAGTCAAAATGTTGAATGTTTCAGACAAACATGTAAATATTGGTAGAAACAATGTTATTGCTCATTTTGAGCCATTGCATGATCAAGTTATCTCAAAAATGAATGAAAATTATGATTTACATTTGTATGCAAATGTTTCTCTTAATAGCAGTGGAAAGAAAAATGATGTAGGTGGCGAGTCCTTGGAAAATTTCGGACAAATTTTACCCTTAA